CCATATGCACGGTGTATGTGACCGAGTTTTGTGTTTTATATAAATTTACTCCTTCTTTAAGTATTTATGGGGAACATAAATGGTGTGCAAAATGTTCTCATTTTCTGGATACGTGTGTGGAAGAATCCCTCCCCCTCAATTTCAATTGGCCAACCCTTAATCCGTTTCGTTTTCAGAGAAAATATTTCTCATTTCTCATTATTTATTTAATTTGGTGGGCGTAATTTTGATTGCAAAATATTACTCACATTTCAATCTCCATTCGTGTAGAATTCGCAAGAGTTATGCAAAGCATCCGTTGGTGGGTAAAACAACGGGCAGTGAAGAAAGACATTCCGGTAAGGCATACAAAATAATGTTTTAAATTTATAAGGTCCTTCAGTAACTGGCTTTATAATTTGCACAACTAGAAATGAACTTGGTTAAAATTTCATGGTGAAAAAGACATTTGATATAATTTTCAAGCCATGTTGTCCATCTAATGATGCGGGAAACATACATTTTTTAATTACTTCTCTTCATAGCTGCTCAACTTTTGCAAGACGCATGCGCTTCTGTGACGTCAAAAGTACGTTGATTTGTGTAAACAATATCGTGCATCACGACAGTTCTCTGACTACAAAATGACGGAGATCGGTGTAAGCAATCTCGTTCAGACGAAGATTATTGTTCTTAATTTATTAAAAACAGCACTTCGTAATGACAAACAACTACAAATCAAAACAATATGAACGGTCGCGACGGCGTCCTATACACCCATTGCCCGGGGGACACTTGCAAAAAATACTGACAGGGGTGTGTAGCTGGTTGTTTGAAACCCCTACCCCTTATCAGACAGAAATAAACTCAAATTGCCTACCTTTTTTCAGACAAACTGTGGTTATTCGACACCCCTTTCCAGACAGTAAGCATAAATGGTACCAAGGGAAAAACAGGTGGATTCCCGGGGATGGACTTTAACGATCGAAATGAAGTTAAAGAAAGAAAAAATCAGCTTCATTCTCCTGATTGTGGGATCATTCAAGCTCTAGAGACAGTCTTTGGACCCCTTTTCAGACAGAAAAATAATGAAAAAAGGATACCTCTTTTCAGACAGGCAGCGTAAAATAACATACCCCTTTTCAGACAGAAGTGGTGAATTTGGGACATTTTTTGGCGGCACATATACATATAGCACTTCAGTGTGAGATCCCCCCAAACCCATTGACGTCACAGGGGCGATAGAGGGCGCTACTTACAGTAATGGTGTATTGTAGAATTTACTTTGAAGGTAGTCGAACATGAATTGGAAAACATTCGTTGTTTGACATGCGCCCGTATTTTCCAACAACTATGTTTATTTTACGATTTAATACCAACAGTGCATTGCTGTTCATCTGTGATGAATTATTTATTCATTTTGCATGATCGCAGTAAATAATTACTATGTCCGTGCCCGTACCCGGCTCTTACAGGTTTAAACTTTGTTTTTCAAACAGAACGAAGTTACGATGGTGACCATGACAACAACTATTTCAAAAGAATGATTAAAGGTACTTTACTTTGAAATCAAACAAATTAATCACCATGTCGAAACACGAGACCAATTCTCACACAATTTTATCTCATTTTCAGCCCTCCTTGAAGACAATAAACAGACAATACATACAATACCTGATAGTGATATAATGTAAGGATTTATTTTTTATTGATTGTATTGTATAAAACGACTTATTGCCGTCATTAAACACCCAAATGCTGTAATAATAATAAAACTAATCTGTAATATACGAATATGCTACGACTATCCGAACAGGAAAATAATTTGCACGCTATAATAAAATATAGCGTGCCAACCAACCCCGTTAGACCATACACGCACACGTATATGTTCTTAATTAGTTAATCCGTTGAAAAAATCGAAAGTGATTGGCAAGATATGCATCAATAATTACTATGAACATACTAATTTATGACGGAAATATCCGTCAGTTTTCTACAATGACTTACATCAACAAAGCAATTTGCAAAGCATATATCCCATTTAAGTGCCATAACTAGATATATATCCTATCTGATATGACAGTAATGATACACTAGACACCATACGTAGTCTCATGACAATTTGCGTATAATAAACTATTATAGTAAACTCACAATTATAAACAGAGTTGTGACGTAGCAAGTCTGTTTTCACTACCAAGCCAGTGTTCGTATATCAATAGAAGACGGCATTAACGTTTGACATTCCCTCCATCCCTCGGCAATTCACAGATGATGACTGGACATCAATTATGTGAGAGTTCAATAATCAATAATGATAAATTTATACAGAGTTGACCCTCGAGACAAGGAGAGATATTCATTCCGATTAGGGTGTCAAGTATAACAAAATAATCAGTCGTCGTACTCTCCAGATGTGGCATCGGTACATGGAATGTTGATGCACGAAACATTTATGTTACGCTTAAAGGGCGGTGGTCGTCGCGTCGAGTCCTGTTCGACATAGGACTCATAGCGACGTACACAGCGCGTGTGAAATACATTGTTTGTTTACGTGAAATTCGAAAAGCGCTGCGCTGCGACCACCGCCCTTTACTTTTATAGCAATATTGTTTCGAAAACCAAAACAGCAAAATTGCCAACTAAGTTACTGACTTGTTTGCTATTTGCTAAATTTCCCTAAATTTTGTGAGTTGTAAAGTATAAGTGGTAAAGTGGTATCATTGCGACTTTTATACTGTTTCTGTTGCGATGCATTTTGCGGAAATGACTGACTTCAATAAATTTAATTATAAATTTTACCTGAGTAAGTCACCGTCTGTCTGTTCGTGTATTCGTGCGTCCGATGTAATTTTCCTGAATTGACTTTGTTCAAAATTGTTACACAGACCATGGAAGGTACTACCGTTAGTACCTTCCATGCAAAGACAAGGCGCACTAGTATATATGTGCGTCGATTAGTTGTTTTATTTCGTTGACCCTTAATAGTCTGCTTGCCATTACTGTCCTAAAAAACGTCTTGTGACAGTAATGAATGTCATCGACCGATTTGGTATTGACGTCACTTATTCTGGGTTGTAAGTGTACATCTGTCCTCTGTCCGTTCTATTCCAAATGTTTGGATGGTGGCCATTTTCCTTTTTTTAGTGAAAATTAATTGTGTAAGATTTTGAATGTCAAAGACATTAAATTATTGACACGATTGTGTAATTTATAATTATATTAGATTTTAAAGGAAAACAGTGTCAGTAACCTCAATCTACTGTATTACTTTTTAAAATGCGGCTGTCATTTTTGCGATGGAGGGCGGGCTTCATTGAGTGAAGGAGATACCAGTAACTATTAAAATAAATAGAGGGAGTTTGGCCGTAGAGGGAGTCATGATGCATGAATAATCGTTTGAATAATTGCATAATCACAAGCATTTCCTGGTACACCTCATAATCGAATCACTGTTTATATTTTTGTAGCACTCGGAATAATAACGAACAACAATCTAGGGAGAATCCTGGCGATAAAGACGGTAAATAGCATATCCGATCAATATATGAGTTATTTATACATGCATGTTATCTAAAGATCAACCGATTGTTTTTGTTTTTTCAATAATGCCAGTTCTTGACATAATATTCTTGGAAAATGCCATCCTTCTCTCAACTTTTTACAGTTTGTTTTATTCAATAATCTCAGAAATTATATCGTTACGTGACGTGGTCGAAATCACATCATCACACACTGTTTCGTTATCACACCGCCAGTCTATGTCGCGTAACCGAAATAGGACTTATCACACCTTCACTGTAACGTAGTCAAAATCGCGCCACGGTCTAGTACGTATCTAATTCGAGAGAAATCGCAGCTCCAATGCACTGTGGCGTAATCTAAATGGCGTCATTCTCAACACAGGTTGCTTTGTTTTGTTTTTCAGGCCCTGGAAGCAAATTTTTAAAGAATGACTTCTGGGAGAGACGTGAGAATACATTGCCGAAACACGCAGATGTGTAACGTCTTTCTTCGCTAGTATTTAGATAATTTTTCACTTGAGTAAAATGCGTCAAAAGAACATGCCTCCAGAGGGCGACCCTGATTGATCTCAGGCTGGTCAGATCGTTCCATTATGTAATTTTTTTGTTATAGCAACATCTTAATTTATGTGTTACAATATAAATCGTAACATAAATTGACGCTTATTTTAGTGACTGTTATTTGTGCGTGTCTTTTGATATGAAGTTGGGTATAATCATTTCTGTGTGATCTTGCGCAGTTGTCATTGGATTATTGGTTATATTACTGGCAATGTATGACATGTCGTATCATGTCGTAACTTTCAATTGTTTACAGTGAAATTGTGTACTGAGTACTGTAATACATGTATTTTTGGATAGCATGTTATTTTAGCTGATCTGTAATTTTGCTAATTGTTAGAAAGATATTTTTAATTCATGTATAGTCGAATTTGCTAAAAAAAACATGAAGCTATTTCAACGTTTTCCACAGTAATTTGTATATCGTTTGTTATGAGCGTACCTGCAATTATCAATAGCGCCACCAAGGTATGTTTTCACAACGTGAATTCAATAGAGCCCAATACAATACACCAGGGTTTGCGACATTTTATTACGCTGGCCGGTGGCTTCTGATTGTGTTTATATAATATATTTGGTCTTGATCATTATTGACACTAATATTTTGAGAAAATGAGTCGATGAATAAAGCTCCAATTCGGAGAGAACGTGACAATACTATAATGGTTGGGGCTCTGGTCGTTGCGCCGCGTCCGATATGGGTCCCATGGAGACGTAAACAACGCGTGTAAAATACATTTCACGTAATTTTATCCTGTGCTGCTCGACGTCCAGCGCCTTCTATGAGTCACTGACGTTATTATGGATACCATGACGCGAGTAATTTACACAAGTAAACATAGTCAAGTGGTCACAACTGGCATTTATTAAATACAAAAATAAGTGATTAGATAATATCATCATAAATTGATGAATGATTACATTGATACAGAATTATTCGATAGTGATGGTTTCAGGTTTTATACGTTCTTCTTTGCGTTTATTCACAGTGCGTTCACCCCGGAGTCCTCTGTCTATGCTTTTCACACACTGCTCTTTCCATATCTTCTCAAATTCTAATTGGCATTTCGCAGAACTTTTTTCGCAGCATCTCTTCTTGATGAAGTGTAGGCGTCTTGGTGATAGTGGCTTTCTAGTCAATCCTTTAGTGAAAACGACTCCACGGCAATTTCTGCCAACGCGGTCTTCTGGAGTATACAATTGAAATACCAACTTTTTGGCGAACTGGCCGAGATTGCGGGACTCATTGAAAACGTAGTCCACATCTTCTGTGCTGAGAGGTTTCGCCGTAGATGGCGCTTCAATTTCTGAAGTTGGTACCGAACCAAGACGCGATGCCAAAATTGCAGTAGAAACTTCGTTGTCAATCATTTTAAATAAGTCATTTTGCAAAATGTTAATTTTCTCGTCAATGTATGCCTTAATGTTGGACATCAATGCGGATGTTGAGTTTGCAAAACTCGTTGTTGTCGGCGGCGCCTTATACCAGTCAAATGGACGTTTTCCCGTCGCGTTTGACTGTGCAATGGTAGTGACGAATGTAGCTGAGCTTAGCTGGCGCGGTTGAGCAATTGGCGAACTTTTCACTGGTCGTGAACCCCGTAAAGGTGGTTGATGAAGACGTGGTTGTTGAGGAATTGCCAAGCTTGATTGGGAATATGGCTTCTGTGTTGGCTGCGTTGAATAGGTACTTGGCTTCTGTGTTGGCTGCGTTGAATAGGTACTTGGCTTCTGTGTTGGGTGCGTTGATTGGGTACTTGGCTTCTGTGTTGGCTGCGTTGATTGGGTACTTGACTTCTGTGTTGGCTGCGTTGATTGGATACTTGGCTTCTGTGTTGGCTGCGTTGATTGGATACTTGGTTTCTGTTTTGGCTGCGTTGATTGGGTACTTGGCTTCTGTGTTGGCTGAGTTGATTGGGTACTTGGCTTCTGTTTTGGCTGCGTTGATTGGGTACTTCGCTTCTGTGTTGGCTGCGTTGATTGGATACTTGGCTTCTGTGTTGGCTGCGTTGATTGGATACTTGGCTCCTGTGTTGGCTGCGTTGATTGGGTACTTGGCTTCTGTGTTGGCTGAGTTGATTGGGTACTTGGCTTCTGTTTTAGCTGCCTTGATTGGGTACTTGGCTTCTGTGTTGGCTGGGTTGATTGGGTACTTGGCTTCTGTGTTGGCTGGGTTGATTGGGTACTTGGCTTGTGTGTTAACTGCGTTGATTGGGTACTTGGCTGCGTTGAGTAGACCATCACTGAATTCGATGTGAGTGGTTGGTAGGCAATAGATGAGGCAGATGTTTTGCTTCGTGGCGGATTCTTGCCCGTCAGCAGGTGCCCCTCTTGCGTTTTTGTAGCTATTACGGAACGTGTCAGTTGTGATCTTGGCGGCTCCTATGTAACAATGAATGGTATTACACATATTTTTTTCAAAATGGAATTATTTTGTCCATGTTTATTTCATTTGTGCACGAAATGTGTGATAATGCATATCCCACGATAGTACGTTTTCCTGTTATATTATCATCACAATACTACATTATCACACATTTCGTGCATAAATGAAATTAACATGGACAAAATAGTACCATTTTGAAAAAATAACGTGTTTGTACTTCACTTTCACTCTCTACACTTATATTAATAGCATCCTATTAACCGCAATTGTGTTACAATGATACAACTTAGTACATAAAGGTTTGTAAATATTGTGAGTTAGTTCAAACTGAAATAATACAAAATGTTTGTTGGCTGGTCTAAATACAGTTCTGATATGTGACGTTTCTAATCAATCATTGCATTACATGGGGAATCATGTTTTGTGATGACTGTGGTACAACTGAATATTAAAAGGTTAAACATATGACGCAATCCATTCAGCCCTGTTATGATTATTGTATTTAGGCTATAATGGATTAAAATGGTGATTAAAAAATGTGCCATGTTTTGAATCCAGCGTTCGCCCGACAACATGGCCCGTCGTTCAAAACATTATGTATTATGTGTATTATATGTATTATGTGTATCGGACGATACATTATGAGGGCGTGTATCGGACGATACGATATTACCCGGTCCTATCAAACTGTTAATAGTCAAAATCGTATCAACATACTTACCAGTTGCTTTTGTTTTTTATTCTCATTTGTGGCGAAGTCATTGTCTGCTCTCCTTTTGACCGCATGGCACATTTGTTGTTGTTTTCTTTTCAATAACTGCATATCATCTGAAAATCAATAATAAATATCAATATACCAATACGTAATCACAACTCAACTTTGTAATGTGTTGAAGCGGGGGAGTCGTCACCTGCGCATGCGTCAGATGGCCATAGCGTGTCATTGTTTACAAACAAGCGTCTACCCACAAGCATGTGTGTTTTAGTGTGTGTTGTTATGGTCGATTGGGACTCAATTCCCGCGCGTGCGCAGATGACGACCCTCCCGCTTTAAACTATACCGTCGAATACGTGAATGAATTGTGCGTGAATGAACGACACATGTGAATCGTATGACGCTTTTACCAACATTTCGTTCGATGTCATTGTAAACCAATGATGATAAATAATTGCGTGCAATTGTTATTTGTATTGTTGGGGATTGTCACGGTAACAGTATTTATATTTGTACCGAGAACTTCAGAAGGAACATGTTTTTCTCTGATTTCTCATAAATCGATTACTCTAGAACTTTATACATAATTCCAGCTTTGTTCAAAGGATCGAAATTTCGGAAAGACGCTGCACTAACACAAATAACCTCAACTGCAGTTTCGTGGATATTTTATAGTTCATCTTTGATACGACTAACATGATAAATTATATGGTTGACGATATAACGCGTGTTTATCTAACCATAGATGTATAAACATTATTCGTCGGAGGACTGTGCTCTTTGCTCAACTCAATATGCAATTTTACTAACTCCATTAAACAAGGCAAAATTCTGCGATTCAGTGACGCGATAAACCATTCCTGTGTGAGCACAGTCCCTCAATAGATTGTTCGAGGGATTGTGGTTTGAGCGTTGCGCGCCAGCGCCTACTAACTCTTACACTGGAGCACAGTCCCTCTAGAAGGACTGTGACTGGAGACAGACATTCAATTTACTCACCAGACATCATTAATACTTTGGCAGGAAGTGCAACACGTTTTCCCCAGCGTACCAATGCCTTTCCTCCCTTCTTGATGTCACCATTGACAACCTTTGTTCTTCTGCACACCCATGTCTTACGGTCAATGTCAAAAACGACAAGCACAAACTTCGGCACTGAAAAGAAATAATAACAGTGGAATATTCATTTCTGTTGGCATGGAGATAGTATAGAACAGAGTACTGGACTGGAGTCTGTGGTTAGTGTTGTCTGTCCGGGATATTTTTAGACTTATCCAACGCACGTACAAGACATTCGTGTTGCCACCAGTTAACAACATCACGAAATATGGTTGATTGATATACATAAAACACACATAAAAAGTGAAGGATACTTACTTTTCTCAGACACTGAGATTGTTGTTGTCTCGTTCGTTGTGATTACAAAATGTGACTACAAATACAGGATTAAAATTGTCTTCGCTTTCGATTACTGTCAGCCAAAAGTGAATGATTAAAGGCAAGGGTCTCGTATTTATGCCATCCCGAGAATAGGAATTATGGGTAATCGATAAACAACCAATCACGGCTCACTATGTAGATTCATGACCAATCACACCGCGACCGTTGTTTATATATTTAGCCGTCCGATAGCATTTTTCACGAGCTTAGATATTATGGGATTATCAATTCGGAGAATCTACTACCGGTACCGTCGAACATCATAAGGAAAAAGTCATTTATAAGTCGAGAAAACAATTACAGATTTTTATCTGTCTCGGAAAATACGTTATTCTTGTTTCCTGCCGAGTTCCATCGCTGGTGGCGCACTATGTTCTACCTTACTTTACTTTAGAGTAGTGCGCCACAAACGGTGGGGGAAGGAAAACACACCACCCGTCATCCACGACGTTCTGGGTTGAGATAGTTTGTTCAAGTGTGTGATTAGCACTATTAAAATGGATGAATGGAATGGTGTAACAATAAGCAGTGTCACTCGTATCAGTAACATCTACTGAGTCAAATTAATCGTGAGAAAATAACTTGTTGATATGTCAGATAGTTCACATACCCTCTATCAGATAGTTGTTTAAAGTCACCCATTATGACTTCCAAATGTGTTAGAATCGTAATTGTAAAATTGTGTTTGTATTGCCATTGGACAACATGTGTCACGTGTAACAACGAAAATCTGTCATTGGCTTGAAATAGTGACATCGATTATGTGTGCATAGCGACGGTTGCAAATTTATGTCTGTACGACGACCACTGAATTGTCACTAGAGGGCGTATATTGACAATAACAACGATATTCTCTACCGTATGTCACAGTTCCTTTATCGTTTACATAATCATGGAACTACCCAGACAGATTCTACCATAGAGGACCTTTTCACACCCGTTAGAGAAAGAATGTAACCATATGGCGACGTTCCAATGACAGACATATATGCTATTGTTTTCGAAGAATTACCTTGACGCGTAACGTTGAAACTATGTGTGACTAACACTAACAGTCATTCCGTATTTTGACGACTAATTCATACAAAGGGATGAAATAGGTGCACGTGTGAACGATTCCAGATGCAACTGTATTTACGGACCGGAAAAGACACACATGTGTTACGAGTTCCTGACGTGTTGTAGAAATGGTATTGTCTAGGTGGTAGTAATGGCACACTATCTTGTGCCTAGGCATGGTCCTATAAGTAAAAGCTAGGACTGTGTTTTCTTTTAGTAATGATGGTGTAATTGAATTTTATTTTCGACACTTTTAATAAACTTTACTTACTTACTTTATATTATTACCTATCGGATGAGCCAGGAGAGTCTCAACAACTAGCCTGAAGTACAGTTTTCTGGGAATTTTCGGCCTTTGTTTTCACCACGATTACTAACAAAATTTTCTTTTTAGTAACCGTGTTTTCACCATTGATGGTTGCCAGGCGATGAAAATGCCCGGATGTCCACCCGAGAATTGTTTCTTCTTGGGATCTGTATTAAAACCTTAACTATAACAAAGCATCATGTATCCGTGCCCGCAAAACTCAACTGCAGATACGCTTTTGAGGTACCCGTAAATAAATGGGATTTTTGATCCCGGTTACCAGGCAACTAATACGGATGAATGGGCTAAAGATTATGTTTTTATTTATGGAAATGACGTACAACACAGTTCTACATCGCTCACAAAGGGACTCCGACGATCAGTTGGCTCAACGAATTTTGTTGAAAACTGAAAGTGAACAATCCGTCAAAATAAACGCCAATGGGGAGCATTTATATAGCGTTTAATCTTGCGGGACGATCGTCATCTTCGGAGACGGGTCGTTCAACAGCTGAATACGGCGAAATTTGTCTGAAAGGTAAATATAGACAGTGATGAATATATTTATACAGCGGTAAACCAAACTGCCGACTAGTTAAATGTTGCCCTAAAATTTGACAAAATACATTTATGAACACTGTGTGTGTATATTGAATTGAATTGGTTCAATTTGCATGTTGATGGATTTCAACCAATTCATGGGTATGAATGGTGGGCCAAATGCATTGTGGTGGTATTATTGTATCTTCCGACTACAGATGCCTCTGTTTCACAGTCGAGGTAATTTCGCTATTGTCACCGATAAGTACAATCTACGAAAACATGTAAAATATAAATAGAACTCATTGTTTCTCTTCCAAATTCGTGAAATTACAACCTAGTTAAAAGGCTCAAACATCTAAATAGTGAATTTAAATAGTGAAAATAAATGATTTCACGGTATTTCACATGTTCTTTGTTCAACAACTACTAGTAGCTCATTCTCATTTATTTGTCTGTATGTCTGTCTGTCAGAAAGTGGTGCATTTTTATGAAATATTTACGAGGGGCTGCCCTTGAGTAAATTACCAACACATTAGATGTCATGGAAACAGTCATTTTATAAGTCATCTCTGTGATTGTCAGGTTACTAGAAAAAGTTATGAACGATTTTTCATAAATTTTTGAGGGGATTGTCCTTGAGATGAATGATATATTTTTTGAGATATCTAATAATGGCTACCAGGAAACAAGATTTGTTAGAGGAATTCTTCAACTTAATTAAAACAGTTAACAAAGAGTTGTCATGAAATTTTCAGTTATGGGGGCGCCTTCAAACAAGGACAAATCCATAGTATATTTGAGAGATGCGGATGTGGTCACCGTGCAGACAGGAATTATTACAGCTAGTTTTCAGCCTATTTATAAAGTGTAGTTAAAATAATACTGCATACTTAATACCATAGTTCTTGTTTCGTTGCAGAGAGGCGCCTGAAATATTTATTTTTATGGTAAATTTTGTCAGCACGCTCGAAGTTCCACTATGGTGCGGGTCCGAAAATTGAATTTATCTCGCTGTATTGTTTCACTGGGTGTTATCGTTTCCCTGTTTCTTATCTGTAAATGCATAGATCCTATTTGGTATGATGGGAAAATGTATGTATATCCCAATATTTCTTTTTTTAACAACAGTTTTTATTATACATTGCTTTACATGTTGTTTTTGTTTACCAGGAGTCAGCTTGTTCATTTCCATATATTAAAGAGGAAGTCAAGCCAAACAACATAATGCTTCCCAAGGAAATAGCTCCACAAATGTAGGAGAATGCAATTTAGAGTTTTTGGATATCACTTTTTATTCTCTAGATATTCGACTTTTCGCCAATATTATGTAGTCCGCCACCTTGAATTGATTCTCCAGCAAAGGAATATGGGTAAAGTGTGACATCATATCCACTGAAAAATGGTTTCATCTATTACGTGAGAAATACTGATGCGAATTTTCGGTGTGCGTATGACTCATGCATATCATTATATTAATATAAATTAATATAATGTTACAGATACACATAAAGTGAAGATATTGCCACAAACGTAAAAAAATAAAAATCATTATTGTAGTCGTTAAAAATAGAATGACACTTTTTAGTCCCTTTTTTGTGGTCAACAGGTTATATATCAATCTGATTAAAATCGGATGAATTGTACGACGTGTATTTTATTTTACATATTTATTTCACTTTTACTATTTTTTAAAAAATATTTTGTATTTTTTTGTGGTTTTTGTTACGTACTTGTGATTCGGTATATTTTTAACTATCGCCACGTACATCTGAACCAATGCCTATGTAACGAGATTTCAACGAGACCTCCTCTGACTGGTTTAGTCAACGAATCACAGACTCCTTCTATGACACACCTAATGACGTCACCGGTCAGAGAACACACTCAAATAAAATGCGAGGTCTTCACTAGACTGCACATCCACTCAATAATACGCAATACACGGTATCAATAAGGTAAGGTTGCAGGATTTAGCCACATAGACAGTCCGACCAACCATTTATTTGTACTCTACAAAAACGCCATAAGGAAACTACTTAAGTTCGCATTACTGAAAAGTTAGTAATAAACTTGAAAATGAAAATTAA